AAATATCTCGTCGTGTTACGGCCAGGTGGTTCAAAAGCGGTTGTTTAACTACGTTGTCTTGCGGGATGGAGGTCCAAGGGGTTGCGTCTTCGGAGAGGACCCCTCAAGAGATACGCGCGGGAGTGGCGGCGCGCCAGCGAGCCCTCAAGCTTCGGGGGGCCTCGTCATAGTGAAGCCCTGACGCCAGGCCAGCTGAGTAGGGGTTTTCACAGCGCTGTTGAGACCCTCCAGACGACCCAGCGGACGCCGTGGTTGCATAGGGCCCGCGGGCTTGCGTCGGCCATGCTGTTGTGGTTGGAATATGGCGGTTGGTTTTGGGAGGGCCTTGCTGCTTTCATATCTCGGTCTGGGTTTGAGTGGATCCTCACGGAAAGGCCACCGTCCCAGGTAGCAGAGCCCTTCGCCCGAGACCTCCAGGATGTTGATTTAAGGCGGTATCTCAGCAAGTACCTTCCCAGTCAGCTTGGGGGCCATGAAATGTCTGCCCGCGGGCTGTGGCTACCTGCTATGCAGAGAGTAGCAAGAGCCAAGGGCGGCGGTCACCAGCACCCGTTTTTTCAACTGCTGTCAGGATCTGCACCCGCAGGAGCCTCCCTCGCTGAGTGGGGGTACTCGGTGTCGGACCGATGCCAGTTTTGCGGCGAGCGCGACACCATGTGGCACCGCTGCTGGACATGTACTCACAGGCCAGTCGCTGCCGTGAAGAACCAGCATTTCTGCCATGAGCTTGTCGATAAGGCCCTGGCGCCTGGTCCCACTTCGTTTCTGTTCAGTAGACTTTGGGCCCCCCACCCCGACATTCAGGAGTTGGGATTAAAGATTTTCCGGGGCATTCGGGGGGGGGGGGGGGGGGGGGGGCCTGCGATGCTTTTCTTTTCCAGTCAGAAGATGATTTATTTACTGACGTGTCGTGTTTCCGCGGCGACAATCCCGAAATCGCGAGAGCTGGCCTCGCTGCGGTCCAAACGGATGGCGAAAAGCTTGACAGAGGAGTTGATTCCCCATTGCCCAAGGAGTTTGCCCAGCAAGCGGCAGATGCGGAGCATGCGGGGCTCCCTGTTGCTACTCTACGTAGAGCCCAATCCGAGGTCCTTCCCAAACCAGTGTCTGTGGATGGTGCGGCTTCACCGGGTGGTGCGAGGTATCCTGAGAAGGTTTTGGAAGGATCTTCGAGACTCAGTCTCTTCTGGCGCGAGATCAGCAGGACCTGCAAAGCCCAGCCCACGTTGACCAAGGTCAAAGCTCATCGAACTCTCGAGAGTGCGACTGAGTTCGAGGACAGGTGCGCCATCTCTGGCTCGACTGCTGTGGACTTCTGGGCTAAACAGGGAGCTCTTGCCCACTCTTTGAGTCCGAGAGATCTCACAGACTTTGAAGCTGGAGAAGCGGAGTCTGCTTCTCTCGCGAGCGGGCTGGTTTCTGCATTAAGTTGTTGGCCCCCTTTTCGAGTTTGAATTCAGAGGTGTGAAAAGACCCGCGAGGGCCAAAGTGCCCGTTCGTTCCTCACGGTTCGGGCTTGCGGCGCAAAAGGTGCTTGAGGGCCGTCGCGCCCGCTGCCGCCGCCGAATGCGCCAACCCCAACCCCGCGCTGCGCCGTTTCTTGCGGGGGGGGGGGGGCAGGCACGAGCTGCACTTGGCGAGAGTGGTGGGCACGGATGTGCCTGTCGTTTTCTGTGTGTTCCCGCCGGTGGCGGGCTAGCCAGCGCTCGAGCTGGCCGACGCCTCTGAGGAGATTGCGATCCCCCCGCGAGGAGCGCCGAGAGGGCTCATCTCCTCAGGGGGCTTTATCCTGGGACGAACTACAGGCTGGGCCCGCCCTTCCCCCTCTCGCCTCCGCCCTTCCTTCTCCCCCCGCCCCCTTCCCCGGCCCCCCCGCCCCTGCCGAGGACGGCCCGGGCCCTGTCATCCCAAGACCTCTGCGCCGCGAGGAGGACGGGGCCCCTCTCCCCCCGCCCGTTGGCGCCCGAAGTCAGTCAGACGACTCTGACTGACCTTCCTGCGCCAGTTGATCCTGGATTGACTCGGCGCCCCTGGGCCCTTGAAGCCCGCGCGGAGGAGGGGGGGGGGGGGGGGGGGGCGGGGGGGGGGGTGGGGGGGGGGGTAGAACGCTACATGCGCAAGCGCAAGGTCGAGCCAACGGCAGGAGAAGGAGGAGGAACAGGAGCAGGATAATGAGGAGGAGGAGGAGGAGGGAGGGGGCGGAGGAAGAGGGAGGGGGGGGAGGAGGAGGAGGAGGAGGAGGAGGAAGAGGAGCAGGAGGAGGAGAAGGAGGAGGAGGAGGAGGAGTCCGTAGCCATTGTTGCTCGACTCTTACAGTTTACTTTCTGCATGTGTCTTTATACGGCGCTGCGCGGCCGTCCAGGTGCGCGGCTTCGCCCGCCGGTGCTGACACGGCGCGCGGCGGTGGCGTTCCTGTCCGGCGCGGTTCTCGCGCGGCCCACGCGCGGTCCGCCCAGGAGGTGATAGAGCTCATGGCCAAGCTCGGCGGGCAGGGCGAGACGCAACAACTCAAGGAGCCCCAGTCCTTGCTGGACGAGGCGCAGGGCCCCCATCAGCCTCGACAGGAAGGTCCAGACGGAGGGCGCTCGGCGAGGCTTGGTTCAACGGGGGCAGAGAGACCTCGCGAAGGACTTCGTGCTCTGGCGGCAGGGGCGGCGAGCGGCGGCCCATCCACCCGCCGCAGGCTTGCCGCAGAAGGTGCTGCAGGCCCTTCGCAAGCCACTGCTGGAAGACAGCGGTGGTGGCATCCCCGTAGAGTCGGCCTCGGAGGACGCCGCCTTCGACAAGGAGGGCGAACGCCACGGGCAAAAGGTGCAACCCCAGCACATCGAACGGACCAGGGCCTCCAGCAAGTCGATCTCGACGGGTGCGGTTCCGAGGCTGATGGTGCTACGAATGTACAGATGCTGGAGGACATCAAGGATCTTCCCCTAACGCAGCGGGCAGACCTGCTCAGCCTCTTCGCCCAGAAGGTCAACCAGAGCACGATGACCATCGTTGGCGAGGTCACGGAAGGCTGGGCCCTCACGAAAGAGTCTGTTGGCGCAGCCAACGACGAGCAGGCATCTGACCTGGGCGGCTTCTCCATCGAGGCGGCCTCGGAGGTCGGAAGCCTCTAACAACGCCACTTCGGCCGTGGACTTGGAGCTGCAGCTGCCTCCAGGAGCTGCCCCGCAGACGGGGGTGGAGCTGGGGGGTGCCCATGAGAGTCCGCCGGCGCAGTCGACGACGATCGGGAGTCCGGCCAGAAGGAGGCTTTCCCCACAACGGAGGCTTGGACGTCGGAGACCACGCCGTCAAGCATGCAGCTCCCCCCAAGCAGGGCGCCAAGACCTTTGGCAAGCTTGACCTCAGGACCGCCAGCCCGACCATCGAGACCCTGCGCTGCGTCAGTGGGCTGAGTGGCCCGTCCAAGGAGGGCGCTAGGGACCCGTTCCTGATCGCGGTCGAAGTCCGCCCCCAGGGCATGCTTGCGAAGGAGGCGTCTTTGAAGGAGCCCTCGCAATTTCTCGCCGCGAGCCCCGCCAGGAGAGCCCGCGGTGAGCCGCCCTGCCCTGCCGCCTAGCACGGCGCCCCCGACGGGGGGAAGGGGCGCGTTGGGTTTGCGCGGCGGGGGCAGCGCAGGCTTCTGATTCCCTAAGCAGCGAAGAGTTAATCATTCCAGCTGTCGAGAGCCCCCCCCCCCCTCCTGAAGCAGAATGCATGGGGAGGCTTCTCAGTCACAGCCTGCAGAGTTCTCGAGGGGGGGGGGGCTGGGGATGGGGGCGGGGGGAGGTGGAGGGTTGCGAAGTCACCCCCCGCGGACAGCGCGGCTGGGCGAGGTGCCAGCTCCGCGCTTGGGTAGGCCCATGGCGGGGGCCGCGGGCAAGCCGCCTTTCTGGGGGCCTCGGGGGCGCCATTATCCCCCTTCCCTGTCTTGCTCCCTCCTCTCGGCCTTCCTTCTTTTCCATGGTGCTTCCCTAGTTATCCCTCTTCATATGCGCCGTCCGTCGCGGAGCCGACAGTTGGGCATCAGACACCACCGCGAAGCCGCGAAGCCGAGGAGGAGGGCGAGGGAAAGGAGGGGGCGGAGGGGGAGGAGGGCGCGGAGGAGGAGGAGGAGGAGGTCAGCGCTAGACCTGGGGGGGGGGGGGATTTGCTGAGCGGCGAGGCCGTCGCAGATTTGCGAGGCCGCTCGAGGGCGGCTTCGGCCCTCGCCTTCGGGGAGCTGGCCGACCTCGAGGCCGCCGCGCGCAGCGTTGCCAACGCTTTCGAGCAGCGGCGCGCGCGGGCGAGGGGCGCCAGCTGGCGCCAGTGGGCCCAGGAGGCCGTGGAGGACGGCGCGGGCGCCGCCCATGGCTTCTGCCGCGCGCCGCGGCGCTGGGCGCCCGACATCGCAGCGCCGGGCGGAGCAGCCTAGTCCCCACCAGGGATGGCGGCCACGCTGGGCGCTCTCCAGGCCGAGCGCCGGGCAACCTGGAGGTTCGGCGAGGCGGCGCCCCTCGACATCGACACCGCGCTGCCCGAGGACCTCCTCGAGCCGCCCCCCGAGCCGCCATCGCCGCGAGGGGTTCTGGCCGCGGCGGCCAAGTTCAAGCGAGGGGCGGCGTGCGGGGCGGGCGCCACCGAGCCTAGCTCGTTCGGACACCCCTGCGCCGACGGGCTCATCGCGCTGGGGCTGATGCTCCACGTGGTGGAGATGGCCGCGCCCCTCCCTCGGGCCCTGAGCGAGGCGTGCATCTTCGTCCCCGCCCAGGCGGGCGGGGGAGGCCCATCGGCCTCCTCTGCGGTCTGGCGAGGCTCCTCGGCCGCATTCGCCGAGAAGGCGCGCGCAGATGGGGGGGGGGGGGGGGGGGGCGACCGCCCGTGCTTCTTCGGCGGCGTGGGCGGATCGTGCGAGGGCGCGGTCTGGCAGCAGGGCGTCGACGTGGACCGCGCGCGCCTTGCAACTGAAGTCGACGCGCGCGCTGCTGGACTTTTCCCGCGCGCACGAACGCGCGACGTGCGCGGGGCTCGCGGAGGCCGCGCGGCGGCATGGCAACAGGCTCCGCCGCTTGAAGCTGCTGCTCCGAGTCGACGGCGGGGCGCGGCGGCTCTGCCCGGGCCGCTTCAAGTCGGAGGCGTCCAGGCTGGGCGCCTCCATCGTGGCGGGGTGCGGCGAGGCCACGCTGTTGCGGGTGATGCTCCTGGGCCCGCTGGGCGCCCTGGTCGAAGCGTGGCGGACCATTCTGCCGTTCGCCGTCGTGGGCGCCCTGGCCGTCTCGGTCCACGGGGGGCCGCGCGACTTCGAGTGGGCCAGTTTCGGGGGCACGCGCGCCGCGTGCCAGCTGCTGGAGGAGGCGAGGTTCCAAATCTCGCTCTCCCAGGGGGCGATCGTCTCCTCCCACGCGGAGGCGGCCAAGCGGCTGGAGGGCCGGCTGCGGCGCTGGCAGTTCAAGGTGCACGCCTCGGTCAAGAACTTGGGGATCGACTTCGGCATGAGGCCGCGGGCCTCCTGGGCGGCACTGCGCGCCGGGCTGTCCAAGCTGTGGAAGCGGGCCTCCAGAGGATGCTGAAGAAGGCAGGAGTGCGCCTTGTCTCGGTCTGCCGATCGGGCGGGCTGGCCACGGCGTTGCACGGGGTGCCCTCGGCCGTCCTCGACAAGGCCTGCACCGTCAATGCGAGGGCAGTGCGAGGCGAGGTTGGGCGGCGGTCCCGCGCGGTCCAGTTCGCCTTGGGCGAGGGTGATAGCTGGCGGCTGGACTCAGCGTTCGCTGCCAACGGGCTGCCCCTGGCGGCTTGGGCGCGAGCGGTTAACCTGGGCGTCTGGCCTGCCGCCGCCTTCGCGAAGGTTTGCGAGGCGGGCGGCCCGCCGTCGCGGGGTCACGTGCCGGGGCCCTCAGGAGCGGCGAGGCTGACGCTGCAGAGGATCGGCCGGGAAGCCGAGGCCTGGGACAGGTGGCGGATCGACCAGGGCCGCGCGATGGAGCTGAGAAAGGCGCAGCCCGCGCATGGTCAGCCACCTCGTGGAGCGCGGTTGTCGCCGCGCGCTGATGCGGACCGCGCCGCTCCACCGGGCGTCGAGGCGCTGGCGGGCATGCAAGGCCCCCGGCCTCGGGCCCATCCGCTTCGCCCTCAGGACCATGCGGGGGCGAGGTCAGCACGCGGAGGTCGCCCTCCTGGAGTCGCTCATCGCGGGCGCCCCCCCCGCGCAGATGGACTTGTGCGCGGAGGTGAAGGCGCGCGAGCCCGAGTGCCGCCGATGCCAAGGCGGGTTCGGGACGACCCGCCACCGCCTCTTCAAGTGCGCGGCCACGGCTCACGTGGCGAGGGACTTCGACTTCGAGAGCGCGCTGAAATTGGACGCGGCCGCGTCTGCCGACGACCTCGGCTTCTTGCGCGGGCCGGTCAACTTCGGCTTCGACGCCGCTCCAGCGCCGAGCGCCGTGGAGGTCTGCCTGCGAGCGGTTTCGGCGCAGCGCGAGGGCTTCAGCGGCACCGTCTGCGTCGACGGGCCCGACAGCTGCCCCCGGGAGGCGGAGCTGTCGAGGCGCGGCTGGGCGGCGATCATGGTCAGCGAAGATGGCCGTCTGCTGGGCGGCGAGCACGGCTGCGTCTCAGGCTCGATCCAGGAGGTCGGGTACGCCGAGTTGCGCGCGGTGCCCCGCGTGCTGCAGGAGGCCTCCATCGGCGCACTGCAGGTGGTGACGGACGGCCTGGGCGTGGCACAGGACTGCGCCAGAGGTCGAGCCTGGTGCTGCTCGGAAAAATCGAAATGCGCCGTGCTCTGGACGTAGATCTTGGCGCGGCCCGACGACACTGGCGAGGGCAACTTCGCCTTGCGCTGGACCCGGGCCCAGGCCAGCTGGGCCAGGGCGCGGCGCGAGGGGGGCCCGCTGGCCTGGCATCGCGACAGTAAGGAGGCCGATGCCAGGGCCAAGGTCGGGGCCCGACTGCACCCGCAGCAGGTTCCTGCGGGTGCTCGAGGAGCGCGTGGAGGCTTCGAAAGAGGCGGCGTGCGCCCTCCTCAGGCACCACGGGGCGGTCTTCAAAAGGGTGACGGGGGAGGGCTGGCCCGACCGCGCCCCGCTGTCTCGGCCCCTCGGCTCCATCCAGAAACGATCTGGTGCTGGAGTCTTCGCCCGCGGGGCACAGCCTCGTGCGTCTCGGCCGTGCTTGGGGATGTAGCATCTACGGGGCGAGGAAGGCCACGAGGGCCCGCGTCGTGGCCCCCCCCTGCCGTGGGATCCCCCGAATAGCGGCCCAACCCCACCATTCCCACAGGTTTTGGGTTGTTCGTTGGCGGGGCGTCGGGTGGGAGCTGGCTGGGAGCGTTGTCGCTGGGAATGGTGGGGCCTTCGTGTTCTGCGCGGTGTGCGGGGCTTACGGGCGCAGGCAGACCCACCTCCTGGTGCACCCGTACCAGCCTTCGTTGCAACGCGAACGGGCAACGGTTCGATAAGCCAGGGCGGCGCTCGATCGTCTGCGGGCGGGCTGTGAGCCGCAGTCTGGAGTTTTCTGGGGTCTGCCTGTCTCGCGGGCGCGATGAGGGGAGCCGCTTGGCCCGCCGCCTGGGCGGCCCAGGAAGAGGAGGTATTTTAACCTCCGTAAGTACCTTTGGATTTGGTGCGCCACGCGGGCCGCCGGAGGCCGCCGAGCGAGCCGCTGGGGCCGCCGGCGAGAAGTGTTTGTGCCCCCGAGGTTTAAATTTGCTTTGGGGCGGCTCCTCAGTAGGTAGGCACGTTTTGCATTGCGGAACGTTTCGTGGTAGGCATTCGAGGCAATCGAGGAGGAGGAGGAGGAGGAGGAGGAGGAGGAGGAGGAGGAGGAGGAGGAGGAGGAGGAGGAGGAGGAGAGGAGGAGGAGGAGGAGGAGGGAGGGGGGAGGGGGAGGGGGAGGGGGGGAGAGGAGGAGGAGAGGAGGAGGAGGAGGGGGCGGCGGCGGCGGCGGCGGCGGCGGCGGCGGCGGCGGCGGCGGCGCGCGGGCGGCGGCGGCGGCGGCGGCGGCGGCGGCGGCGGCGGCGGCGGCGGCGGCGGCGGCGGCGGAGGAGGAGGAGGAGGAGGAGGAGAGGAGGAGGAGGAGGAGGAGGAGGAGGAGGAGAGGAGGAGGGAGGGAGGAGGAGGAGGAGGAGGAGGAGGAGACGAAGACGAAGACGAAGACGAAGACGAAGACGAAGACGAAGACGAAGACGAAGACGAAGACGAAGACGAAGACGAAGACGAAGACGAAGACGAAGAAGAAGAAGAAGAAGAAGAAGAAGCAGAAGCAGAAGCAGAAGCAGAAGCAGAAGCAGAAGAAGAAGAAGAAGAATAAGAAGAAGCAGAAGCAGAAGAAGAAGAAGAAGAAGAAGAGGAGGAGGAGGGGGAGGAGGAGGGGGGAGAGGAGAAAGAGGAGGAGGAGGAGGAGGAGGAGGAGGAGAAGGAGGAAAAGGATGAGAAGGAGGAGGAGGAGGAGGAGGAGGAGGGGGAGCAGAAACAGCAGCAGCAGCAGGAGGAGAAGAGGAGGAGGAGGACGACGAGGGGGGGAGGGAGGGAACGGGGTTGGGGAGGCGGAGCCCCCTCGTCCTCGTCGCCCTGGCCCCCCACCCCCCCCCCTTTGGGGACGGCCAGGGCGAGAGCATCAAAAGCACCGTCTACTTCGACCCCAAGTCGGCGCTTGGCGCGAGGCGGAAGGCCGAACCGCTGCGTTCCCCCAGCGCCGTCAACGGGACCCGGCAGCGGTGGTTCATCATGCCGACGGTCGCGGAACAGGCCGAGAAGTGGGGGTTCTCGAAGAACAAATCAGAGCCCCGAATCACCAGGGCCACGGGCGGTCAGAGATAGATACAGATTCGCGCCTCGGGCGCCCAAACAGGAGTTACCCCGGATTATCCAGGATGATTTGGGCGTCCAACCCTTCCGAATCATCAGGGCTGGGGGCAGACAGGGGTAGCCGCAGATTCGCGCTGGGGTGCCCAAACCAGAGTTACCCCGGACAGCAGTTATCCCGGATAAGTCGAGCGTCCAACAAAAGGCAGGTCATGTGCGTCGCTCCGCCGATTCTGGCCCGCTACGGCGCGACACGCTATCCATGTCCTGGCCTCCGAGCGTCAAGGTCCCGAGCTTTCCCCGACATCCCGCCCTGCGGAGCGGAGCGACACGCTATCCGCTCGGAGGGGATGACATCGTGTCGTTGGGGCCGCCGCGAAGGCACGCGTTCCCAGAGCTCCCGACCGCGAGCAGCATCTTTCGGAGTTCCGCGCGGATTGATCGGATCGGCGCTGGTGTCCCCCTGGCGGTGCCTCCGGCGCCGACCCTGGCGCGCCTCGCTCGCCCGGGAGGGGCGTCCAGCGCCGATCCGAGAAATCCGCGCGGACCCCCCCAGAAATTCTGTTGATGCCGTCTTTTGTCGGAGGTGGATCGACCTCCTACCCTGACACGTCGATTAAGGAATTGGCCGTTTTCGGATCGCGAGAGGGCGTCGCGGCCGTCATGTTTGCGGGCCCAGGTCCGTCGGTTTCGGTCCCAGGCCGTTTTCACCAAGGGGAGGTTTACTGAAGGGAGGTTTGTCCACCGCCGATTTTGTTCTTCCAGGTTCGCCGTGCCGGGCAAACGTGCTGACCTGGAGCACCCGCCGGCCGGCTCGTGGGTCTGCCCGACATGCAAGGAGATCCCCGCTGGGCGGTGCGCGGCGCGCGGCGCGGCAGAGTTCTTGCGTGCGGTGGCGACGAGGACGACGACAACGAAGACGAAAACGACGAGGAAGATGACGATGACGACGCCGACGACGACGACGCCGACGACGCCGACACCAACGACACCGACGACACCGACGACACCGACGGCACCGACGACACCGACGACGACGCCGACGACACCGACGACGACGACGACACCGACGACACCGACGACGACGACGACGACGACGACGACGACGACGACGACGACGACGACGACGGATTCCCGCCGGCGGGCGCGGCGCGCGGCGTGCAGCTCGGCAGAGGTTTGGCGTGTTTGGGCGATCAGGGCGGAGGTATTTCGCCGATTTCGGCTCCCTGGGGGGTCCGGAGTCCGAGGAGGAGAGGGTACCGATGCTGCTGCCCTTCCCTCGTCTTCACCTTTTCTGGGCCTCCTGGGCGGCGCTCGTCGCCGCGGCTGCAGTCGCACTCAAATGCAGGGCAGCACGCGCCCCGGGGGTTCCCCCAGGGGTGTAAGGACCACAGCTCCCCCAGTTAGGGCTGGTCGGAGAGGTCTGAGGAGAAGCGGTAGCTGTACCTTTCGGTCTCCCCAGGGGGGGCCATCCGCTCCACGTGGCCCCGGGGGGGGGAGGGCCCTGGCAGCGTCGAGCGACGACTGGGGATGAAAAGGTGGTCGGCCCCGAAGCTGCGGAGATAATCGGGATGTAGGAGGCTGAGCGGGCACTGGAAACGACAGGGCCGTTTTTTTACTGGTTTCGTTTAGCCGTGTTTTTGCCGGTTTCGTCGCCGTCTTGTTTGCCGGTTCCGTCGCCGTTTTTTTCTCGTCATCCCGGCGCCAGTTGCCATTGTTTTGTTGCGAAGGCCTTACGGCCGGCGCTGCCGACCCTGAAGGGGGACGACGACGAGGACAGCGACGGTGAAAGTATTCAAACATCTAAGGAATGGGAGGGAGGAGGAGAGCGGGACGGAGGAGGTGGAGGGGAACGGGGAACGGGTGATTTGGAGGAGGGGGGATGAGCTGGATGGCGGAGGAGTCGCCATGGATTCGACATCTACCAGGAGGGGGGTGGTGTGCCGGAACCAAGACAAAAAAGCAGCGCGGCAACCACTTTCTTGTGTATGCACCGTCGGGCTGCCGACGACGACGACGACGCTGACGTGGGTCAGAGTCCTCAGGGATGCTTCTTGGGGTCTGGTCGAAACGCTCTTGGGGGCTCGGAGGACAGTGTAGGGGTCTCTTGGGAGCGTCTTGGGGGCCTGTTGGTGCTTCCCGGGGGCCTTGTGGGAGCATCTTGGGGTCTACTCGGAGCTTCCTGGGGGCCTTTAAGGAAGGCCTCTTGGTTTCTCCTGGGGGCACCCTGGGCGGAGGGCTTGAAATGTCCGTTTTGGTCCGTCGTCTCGGCACGGGCTTGGAGCCGTTTTGGGCCGTCTTGGGGCTCTCTTAGGCCATTTCGGGTCGCTCGTGGAGCCCTCTGGGGCTGTCTGGGGGCGATCTGGGAGGCCGCTTGGGCCGTGTTGGAGCGTCGGGAAGCGGAAGAGGCGGGAACGCCGAAATCATTTCAAAATGTATGGATAATCAGCGGTTTTTGTTCTGGTGGCACTCTTGGGCTGCTCCTGGAGGCCTCCTTGAGCGTCTTGCAGCATTCTTGGGCGCCTGGAGGCCGTCCAGGCGTCTTAGACAGATCGTTCGGCGATTCGGGGTCCTCGTGGACTGCCTTTGGGAGCTTTTGGGGCACGGTTGGCCCGTCTTGACGTGTTTTTTTCTGCGGCCCAGGAGCCCCAGGAGGGGAACCCCGAGCGTCGACGTCCTCAAAATCTTTCAGCATATTCAGAAAACAAATGATTTGTTTGAACATACGGATTGTATGTATAGGGGAACATTATAATCAAGCCGATTCCTTTTTAAAAACCTACCCGTAAAGCAACGGATTCGCTCAATCAGATGAAGAAGCCAGAAGACATACGGCATCATTCCAGAACCTGACAGCAACATGGTTGTACGGTTTTGGCTTACAGCGAATACGAATGCAATCGGGAACAGCAGGGGAGTATTATTGCGATTGTGTCGACAGGGTGATTTATTCGAAACGTAGGAGCCCTTTGAGCTTCAGAGGTCCAGCCCCAACTACTCCAGCAATACAGCCCCAACTACTCCAGAAATACAGGCCCCAGAGCCCCCAGAGGCCCCCAGCCCCAGCATCCGACAGCCTTTCAGGCTCAAGCGAACATTCAACTTCGAGCGAGGCTTCATATTGCTTCGTGCTTCCTCCTCGAGGCCTCATCTTCCTCGAGGTTTCATCTTCCCCGTGGTTTCTCATCCTCGAGGCTTAACCGTCCCTCGTGACAGCGATGACCGAGCCGATGTTCACGATTGACGGCCAGGTGAAGCGTGAGCGGTGGATCTGGTTCAGCGACATGCGCGCGCACTTGCCGATCTGGGCCCCGATCAGCGGCGACAGCCTATATTGGACGTGCCCGACTCTTCGCCAAGTCAAGAAGGAGTTGCTCGACTCGGTCTCGCGGGTCGGCGCGGAGCTCGGGCGCGACGACGTGGCCTTCTCAAACATCAAGCTTCGCACCGTCAACACGAAGAAGATGTTCCTCATCAGCCAGGAGCCGCCCCCGAGCGATCACGAGGCGCCCGACGAGTGGTTCGTCAACAATCGCACGCGCCGTACACTGGAGTTGGTCCACGACGTGGAATTCACCAGGCGCCGCGATACAGGCTGCCAGGGGGGGCAGGAGGACCAGCAGGAGCCCCATCGGGCCATGGAGAAATACGAGAAGCAGAACTACCCGACGGCGCTCGAGGCGACGAACGCGCACGAGAAGAAGGCGGCTCAGGAATCCTACGACCAGGCAGTGCAGGCGGCCTTCACGTCGGGCGCTAAGGCTGGTCGCGCAGCGTCGTCTGGCCAGTTGGCGAGCGAGAGCTCTGGCGAGTCGGCGAAAGATTGGCAGAGGTTGGGCGGCGACCGGAACTCCGGGCGGGCCCGCCGAGAAGTAGGCCGCTCTCTGAGAGCCAGGGGCCATCGCATTCACTCGCGCGGCGCGTGGCCGCTGAGAGCCCCGCTGGCGCAGCCGGGGGCCGTTGGCGCGGAAGCGCCCAGGCAACAGCTTTCCTCCCGCCGCGCGCGCGGAGACTAAGCGATGGAGACGCGCAGCAATACGCGCGCAGAAAAAAAGAGGAAGCAACGGACCAAAAAAAAAAACATGTTGATATGAAAAATTAGGGTGAATTATATTTGAAGTATATCTTGAACTATAGCTATACATCTATGTATACATCAATTCCCGTTGCCATAGCGATCTGCACGGACGCACGCAATCGCCATGGGGTCCGCATCCGGGCCCCAAGTGTCATGGGGTCCACTTCCTTGGCGTCGCGGGTCCGTGCCCTTGCAACAGGGTCCGCGTCTTTGCCTAGCGAGTTGAGGTGTTGTTGCGAGGGGTTCCGCGAGCTCTCTTGGAGCTCTCTTCGAGGCCATAAGCCACGTGCAGGCATCTTGGGCAGTCGAGGGCGCTATCTTGGGCTCTCTGAGGCCCCCATCGGAGCAATCTCGGGCCGTCCCCGACGCTCCCGCGGGTCGCGCCCCCGACGAATTGCGCCAGAGAGAAAACCAATTGCCAGATAATCGCACGTTCGTCAAAACATGTACGCCAAGGGGAGGGGTTTAGCAAAGCCGCCCCCGAACGGGCGTAGGTGGCGAGGGGGCGCAGGCGGCGCAGGGGAGGGGTCTCCACGCGGGGGCGCGTGTGGCCCTGGGCCCAAGAGGCCACCGAAGAGGCGGATTCCTCCGCCATTTTGGTTCGAATGGCGTCCCACCGAAGCCCGGGTGGTGACCTCGAAGATGACGAAGCTGCCCGCGATTTCGATTCACGCATCAAGATGTCGCATTGCCTTCCCAAAGAGCTGTGCAAACTGTCTCGTGTAACGGAACGGATCGACGTCAGATTGGCAATCGGCGAAGAAGCCGCTCGAGGAACTTGACGCGATTCCCATGGCATCGGACGGCCTCATCCCACGCCAGCTTTCACTAAACCGATATTTCAACATGTGGCTGTCGGACAGGTGATGGTCGGCGAAGTGTACCTGACCCGGGACCGGACCGGCGTCTGGACCCGGGCCTTTTCGGGCCCTGACCCGGGAGCGGAAATGTGACAGATCCCAACCGATTAGTCCCCATTCCAACGTTCGGAATGGATTGCAATCAAAAATGGCTCTAATCCCAACCACTTCAGACATTTTACGAGATGTTGAGAGATCGTACTAGATCTTACGAGTTCATCAGAGATCTTTCGAGATTTGCAAACCGTCTGGAATACTCAGGAATCCGGGGGGATCCTGAGAGACCCTCAGGAATTCAAGGGAATCCTGAGATACCTTTTTAGGACTCTTCCAGAACTCGGGGGATCTTGAGAGACTTCCAGGAATTCTCAGGAATTCGGGGGAATCCTGAGAGACCCCCAGGGATCTTTGAGGAATTCGGGGGGGTCCTGAGAGACCTTCAGGAAGCCTCCGGAAACCGGGGGAATTCTCAGAGACCCTCAGGAATCCTCCGGACTTAAGAGGAATCCTCAGAGACCAGCAGGAATCCTTTGGAATCCGGGGGAATCCAGAAGGACCCTCAGGGATCTTCAGGATGGAGTTCCAAGAAGAAGGCCTTTATGGAATTCCAACGGGGAGGCCGCCAATCCAAACCCAAACCCAAACCCAACCCGCACAATCCCAACCCAGAAGGTGTTTTCATTATTCCGATTATTATTACGAGTATTACAACTACTGCTACCACTGGTACGACTACCACTAATACGGCTACGACCACAACTATTACTGCTACTGCTACTGCTACTGCTACTGCTACTGCTACTGCTACTACTACTACTACTACTACTACTACTACTACTACTACTACTACTACTACTACTACTACTACTACTACTACTACTACTACTACTACTACTACTACTACTACTACTACTACTACTACTACTACTACTACTACTACTACTACTACTACTACTACTACTACTACTACTACTACTACTACTACTACTACTACTACTACTACTACTACTACTACTACTACTACTACTACTACTACTACTACTACTACTACTACTACTACTACTACTACTACTACTACTACTACTACTACTACTACTACTACTACTACTACTACTACTACTACTACTACTACTACTACTACTACTACTACTACTACTACTACTACTAGTACTAGTACTACTACTACTACTACTACTAACTACTACTACTACTACTACTACTACTACTACTACTACTACTACTACTACTACTACTACTACTACTACTACTACTACTACTACTACTACTACTACTACTACTACTACTACTACACCTACTACTACTACACTACCACCACCACCACCACCACCACCACCACCACCACCACCACCACTACTACGACGACTACTACTACTACTACTACGACTACTACTACTACTACTACTACTACTACTACTACTACTACTACTACTACTACTACTACTACTACTACTACAGCACTCAAGACCGCCCCAGGACGGCCCCAAGTGTCCTACGACCTCTCCAAGGAGACCTCCAAGAGGCCCAAATCCTTCAAAACCATTGTGTGGTTCAATGTGTTCTGCCTTCTCGCCTTTTTCGCTTCCGCGATGGTCTCTTGAGCCCTCAAGACGGTTCCGAGCTGGCCTACGAGGGCCTCAAGAGGGCCCAGCAGGGGCCCAAGACGGCCCCATAGATCGCCCAAGAGCGCCCCAAAAGCGTCCAAAGAGGGCCCCAAGGGGCGACTTTGGGGGCTCAATAGCGGGCCCTGTTAGGGAACTTTCCCTTGTTTGACCGACCGCTGCCAAGGTGGCCCCAACAGGGCCCCCAAGGCCTCCAAGAGGGGCCCAAGAGGCCTCCAGGAGGACCCCCCCCAAGAGGCTCCAAGAGAGCCCCGAGAGGACCCAAGAGGCTTCCAAAACGGCCCCAAGAGGGTCCCACGATGGCCCCGAGATGATCCCAAGGGGCTTCCAATAGGCACCAAGAGCGAAAGACCCGCAAAGGCCTCGATGATTGATTCCTGTCGTCGTCGTGTCCTCCTTCCTCTCCCATCCGTCCTCTTCCTGCTCCTCGTCCTCCTCCTCCCCCTTCCTCCGTATCCTCCTTCTGGTCCTCCCTTTCCGCTCCAGTGCATCTTCCGTTTCCTCTTGCGTCCTCATTTTTCTAATGTAACGGCTTATTTGTTGTTGCATTGCGTGGCTTTTCTTTGCTTAACGACACTTGCTTGGGCAAGATGTTTGCACTTGCCTTCTCCTGCCTTTTCCTACCTCCTCCTGTTCTTCCTACCTCCTCCTGCTCCTCCTGCCTCTTCCCACCTCTTCCTGCATCCTTGCTTGCCAGGGCGCACGGCGCACCGGTGATCCGCGCATATCAGCGGTGCGTTTGTTGCTTCCCCCCAGCTCCTCGTACGTTTTCTTACATCCCTCAAGCTCGTCTTTCCCCGTTCGATCTCGTCATGCTCTGGCGCGTTTTCTTTTATTCCTGCCCACCTCCCTCCTTCTCTTTATCCTTTTGTTCAGGTTCCTCATTATCATCATCCCTCCTCTCCCCTAGTCCGCCTCCTTCTCCTTCGATGAGTCCGCGAAGAAGGATGCGGCTCACTACTGCGCCGCATGCTGATACTACGCATCCCTGATCAAAGCAACTCGCCTGGTGATTGTTTTTTGATGGGCTGGTTTGGGATACGCGAGGCGTCTAGCATTCACCAGGCGACAGGGCATTTTTTTGTTGGCGGCCCAGCGTTTCCGTCGAGGTTCAGTATGGTTCAAACGAACAGGCGGCGTATGGGCAGGCATTCCCCTTCCTGGAGACATCTGTGCGGACTCACAGTGGCCTTCTTTCGTATTGCCCTTCTTTCGTGCCTTCCGGTTGGCAGCTTCACTTCTGTAGCCCCTGGCCTTGCTCCATCAGACGGCCATCGTTCTGCTGCAATCGCTAAGTGTACAAGTGTCCGCGCCGCAATACATGCGAACTTTCTCGTCGCGGGTGGCCCGAGGGCGCCCCCTGGAGGCCGAGACCATAAGAGAACGCGAGTCGTCATTTTCGAGTACGACGCCCAGACCCTGAGATCCGACGTTGCAAAAAGTACAACATCGCAGAAAATCGCGACCAGATCCCCGGACCCAATCTTCCTGCGTCATTTTTCGAGCCGGATCGATCTGTGAGGGTCATGATCTGTACGGGACTTGGGGCACGAATTTTTCGAAAACGCTGGGTTCCAAAAACATGAGTCGCCAGGATCTCAGGGGCGAGGGAACGCAAGTCGTCATTTTCGAGTGACGCCCAGGGGTCCGGTCCCCCCCCGTGCGTCCAGCCGTTCCGCGCCGCTTCGATGTGGCGGTGATGCCGGCATTGGCACCCAGGGTCGAGTGCCGCTGGTGGCTTGGGCCAGGCCGATCCTGATGTATCTCCGTTGTCGGGCGGCTGGGGCCGCTCTGGACCAGACGATCTGCGCGGTGTCACATGCCGACGTCCGTCAGAGCCCCGAATCATCAGGGCAAGGGGCGGTCATGGAGTACTTGCAGATTCGCGCCTCGGGGGCCCCAATCGGAGTTTCCCCGGACCGCAGTTACCCCGGATGACTCGGGCGTCCGAGTCCGCGTCGGCAGCCTGCGCGCGCGCGCCGCGCCAGTACCTCAACTGGCCCCACAGAACCCACTGCAACGACGGGGCATGCGGCAGGCCACGGCCGCTGGAGGCCGATCTGGAGGGGGGGCCTGCCACCCCCGCCCCTTGCCGCCCTCCCTCCCTCGTGCCCCTCCGCCCTGGGCCGGCCTTTCGCGGCCGCCGCTGCGGACCAGGGGCGTCGCTGGCCGTCCCTGAGATCCGGGCGTTTTCGCATGCCTTCGGCCCCGGGACCCTCACAGAACGATCTGGGTCGAAAAATGACGCAGAAAGATGGGGTCTGGGGCTCCAGTCGTGATTTTTCAAGATGTTGCCATTTTGTTCGCAACTTCGGATCTCAGGGTGTCGCCGCGTCCGGCGAGGCGCGCATGCCACAGGTCAGGCAGGCGCCCCTGGCTTGTAGTGGCGGCAGCGCCCAGCAGGCCCAGCCCTCCCGCTCCGCGGCCTCCTGCCTGCTTGCCTGCCTGCTCCCCGCCCCTCTCCGCTGCTCTTCCTTGCCGTGGCCGTCGGGTGAACTGCCCCCGCCCCCCCTTCCTGACCCGCGCGGCGCCCCTCCCTCTCAGCTGCCACTTGCACCCCAAGGCGGCCCTGCGCCGCTGTCTCTGTCGGCCCACCATCGCCCCGGGCCCCTCGCGCCGCCGCGCTGCTCCCTCTGCCCTCACCGGTGCCCACGGGCTAAACTCAAAGATTGACCTTGCGCTGGAGCGTCCTCGCAACGCGTGTCTACGATATCCCTCCACGTGTTGTAGCCTAATGTGAGGTAGTCTAATGTGTGGTTGCCTAATGTGTGTTTAGTCCATTCAGCCCAACCAGTCGATCATCACATCGCCTTCGTCGTACTGAAGGGCCTCAGTGGGCAGGCGCTAACACACGTTGTGAGGATCATCGATCATCACCCCCTCGCCTCCTCCTCCTCCTCCATGTTGTTCCTCTTCCTCCTCCTCCTCCTCCTCCTCCTCCTTCTTCCTCTCCTCGGCCCACTCTCGCCCTGACGCCTGGTGCCACCTGCTCTCTGGCGCACTTTGGCGGCTCATCTTTGATGTGGGCGTTGCTTGTGGGGTGCTGCGTCGGAAACACAGAGTGACACTTCGCTGGATTGGCCTTTTTTTGCGCGGCTGTCCAGGGGCCCGAGGGGGCCAACCCCAAGCGTCGCGGGCAGCGATGGGCAAGCCGCGCACCAAAGGTCACACTTGCCCAAGTAGGGGTGCCTAGCGATTTCCTGCCTAGCGACTACCACCCCGAAACCTATTCCTATCCCTGTGGTCGGCATCGCCTTACATCGGTCCCGATGTCAGATTTCCCTCGGGCCCAGGGTCGGGGTATGGATAGGCCCTCCTTGCTTGGCGAGGACGGCGTGCACACCGATCCTGGGCCCAGGATCGGCCTCTGGCCAGGATGGGTGCAGCTGCACAGTTGGCGCCCTCCTGGCATGCCTTCGGGCCCCCGCTCCCCCCCTGCGCCCCTCTCCTCCCGTCGGTGCCGCCCGGCCACGGCAGCGACCGCGATGGCGGCGACGACTGCGTCGCCCCCCGCCAGGCCGCCGCCTTTCTGGCGTCGCTCGCCCCTCGGGCCCCTGACGGTTCCCCCTGCTCGCCCTCGCGTTCCCGGGCCTGCGTGCCAAGTCGCCCCACGGCTGCGCGAGGCACGCTCGCTGGAGTTCACCAGCGAGGCAGGCAGCCGGCAGCCGTCGTCGCAGGGGCGTCCGTGGTGCACCTCTTCTTCTTCTTGACCCTGCTCGCTGGGCGCCGTCGTGGGACCGCGACCCGGTCGCAGCACTGCGGCAAAGTTAGGTGCGGTGGAGTTCGACCGCAGCCCCCTCTCACGCGCACGGTATCGGTTTCATCCTGCCCCCTCGGTCGCCTGCACTGCTCGTCTCCGTCCGCTCCAAAAAAGCGGGACCACACGGGTGGACCTGGGCGATTTGGCTTGAGAGCCGCCCCAGTTTAGTTGTCGCGGCTTGAGAGTTGCGGATTCGCGATTGGTATCCATCGCGATGGCGGAGGAAAAAATGATTCGCCCCTCCTCGCGATTCCTCCGTCGCCATTATGGTTCAAGCCAGGCTTCCCGAAATCCGTTGCACCGATAAGTAATATCGCCGATTGCCACCCCCATATCCAGCTTATCCTGTCCTCCCTCCTCTCGGATTGTTGCTCCTCATACATACCTGATCGTGGTTGCATATTCCGTTTGCTCGACGTCTTTATCCCCCTTACTCCTCCTATGTCCCCCTTCTTTAGTCGTTGGCCCCTTTCGTTCTCCGTGAACTCTTCGACTTCATCAAAAAGCACCCACCCCCACCAGATCACAATCATCAGCATCAGCATCAGCTCAACAATCAGCATCATCCTCTTCTTCCTCATCATCCTCATCCTCCTCGTCGTCGTCGCCATTGTCATCACACTCATCAGCATTAGAATTATCCTGGCTTTACCTTCACCATCCGCATCAGCATCATCACCACCACCACCGTCGTCATCATCATCATCATCATCACCATCATCACCATCATCACCATCATCATCATCATCATCATCATCATCACCATCACCATCAACATCACTAGCCATTTTCTCAAGCTTGATGAGGCGCGTGGCTTTGGGCAGGTGCGCACCTGCTTTCCTCGATTCCCTTCTTCCGTGCACCCATGGTGATCGAGGCGCGGCTCGCGATGCTGGAGGCCAAGATTCGTTCCGGGTTCGTGGTCTCTCTGACCTTCGTTCCGCAAGAGTCGGACATGGTCAAGTGCAAGGCCGTTGTTCACACCAAAAAATGCACACGTTGGACACGCGGGTATTCAGCTTCTCTTGAGGGTTCTTGAGGACATTCGCGATCTTCTCGACCGCATGGTCGCTGTCGACCGCGGGCACCATTTCAGCAACGGCTTACGTTTGGTTTCGCCCACACCGCCCCGCTCATGATAATGGTCTTCAGCCTGCTGATGGGCCTCCTGATAGCAGCGACGATGATGATGAGCAGGATGGGGGCCACGGTGCGCGCCATGATGGTGGTGCTGATTCAGACCGCTGCTCGGATCCTGACAGGGGTCAACCTCGTGAGCGCTCTGTGGCTCGGCGGGCAGGCGGCCCCCCTTCGTCTGGTGGACGGCGGGTGCGTCCGAGGAGGCGCGACGACCAGACCGTCCCGGCGCTCCCCTCGGTGCCGGTTTTCCCCTCGTGGGAGGTGGGCGCGTGCAGCCAGACGGATATCCACCTCACTCAGGATGCTGAGGCGCAGACGGCTTTGAGTTTACGTGACTTCGTTGAGGCTGATGGTATGGCCATGGACGGCTCGGCCACACATAGGTACGAGGAGGATTTCTTCCCAGCGGACGCGGTTGGTGGGCCTCATACTGAGCATCCTGCTGTTCTTCAAGGTCGTGCAGTTGTGCTTCAAGAGCCTGGTCGTACGGCTCTTCCTGGTCGTGATCTTCTGGAGCTTCGTCGCGATTTTCTGGAGCCTGCTAGTGTTCTTCTGGAGCAAGGCAGTGATATTCTGGAGCCTGGTGGTGGTCTTCTGGAACCTGGTCGTGTTTTTCTGGAGCACGGTCGTGAGCATCTGGAGCCTGGTCGGGTTCAGCTGGAGGCTGGTCGCGATCTTCTTGCTCCTGGTCGTGAACTTCTGGAACCTGGTCGTGATTTTCTGGAGCCTGTTCGTGGTCTTCCGGAGCCTGGTCGCGATCTTCTGGAACATGGTCGTGTTCTTCTGGTGCCTGGTCGTGTTCTTCTGGAGCCCGGTCGTGATCTTCTGGAGCATGGCAGTGGTATTCTGGAGCCTGGCCGTGGTCCTTTGGAGCCAGGTCGTGTTTCTCTGGAGACTGGTCGGGGTCTTCTGGAGCCTGGTCGCGGTGTTCTGGAGGCTGGCCGCGATCTTCTGGGACATGGTCGTGATCTTCTGGAGCCGGGCCGTGATCTTCTGGAGCCTGGCCGTGTTCATTTGTGGCCTGGTCGTGATTTTCTGGAACATGGTCGTGTTCCTCTGGAGCCTGGTCGTGATCTTCTGGAGCCTGATAGTGACCTTCAGGAGCCTGGTCGTGATCCTCTCGCGACTGGTCATGAGCTACTGCAGACTGGTCGTGATATTCTGGAGGCTGGTCGTGGTCTTTTGGGGCCTGGTCATGTTCTTTTGGAGCCTGGTCGCGTTCCTCTGGGACCTGGCCGTGATCTTCTGGAGCATGGTCGTGATCTTCTGGAGCCTGGCCGCGTTCTTTTGGAACCTGGCCGTGGTGTTTTGGAGGTTGGCCGCGATGAGCCTGGCCGCGCCGATCGGGAGGTTTCTGTCTGCTCGGACGATCTCGCAGAACATTGCTGCCAAGAACACCGCTTTTCGTCAGCTTGTTGAATTGCGCTCTCAGCTTGCCGACGTCGGGCGGCAGATCGCACCTGAGAGCCCAGCTGCCTGGTTCACGCTGCGTGACCAGTTGCGCGCAGCACTGGACATGCCCAAGACACTCTTGCCGCCTTCGAGACAAAGTGAGTTCTCCTGCTCGTCTATTGCCGCTGGTATTCAACGGTTTTACAAGGTCGAGGTTATGTTCGTGGACTTGCGCTAGACTGTGTATAGTATTGGCTGGAGTCGTCCGGGGAGGTTTGGAGTTTCTGATTGCGGGATCGTGGATTCGCCATGGGGATGACGTGCCCCGGTCTGCACATCAATTTCGGCGTCGTAGTATTCGCGGGGCTTCCGCCTGCCGCGTTTCGGTTCGGTCTGAGCTCCACGGCGCGACGGCGGATCTGCGTCGAGGTTCGGAGGCCGCTGGACGGAGAGTTAGCCTTCGGTGGTACACAATAAAACAACGTCACCGTCGCCAGCATCATCATCACAATCGGCATCGCCATCATCATCAGCATCATCGTTACCACCATCAGCATAATGATCATCATCATCATCACCATCATCACCATTAACATCAGCAGCATCATCATCACCATTACCATCATGATCACCAGCGTTTTTATCATAGCCCTTTTGGCCCTAGCACGCGCTGGGCTGGCGGTTGGCCGGCGCGCGCGCCCTCCCGCCGTCCTCGCCCCGAGACGTGGCGCATGGTAGCAGCTCGTCGCGGGGTACAAGTTGGCGGTCGCGTCGGCTACGCACGACCAGACAGCTGTGCAGAAAGCGAATGTATTAGTGTATCCCTACAATCGTGCGGTTGCTGCTGCACAGCCGCTCGCTTTCTACACTTTGGACTGGCTGGATATGGTGGCGGCGACCATGCGTGTTGCCAGTCGTCAGCATAGGCGCTGGGACGGACATTCAGGAGTCGACTTCCTGATTACGGATATGGTTCCACCACATGCTGCCCGCCGAGCAATTCGCGCCGCAGCCGTCCCAAATTGACATGGAAACGTCTGTATTGGATGCCTTCCGCCCACGATGTGGACGCGCGGCTGGCCCACCTGATGCAGCTGCTTCTGAATCGCTCTCTATACTGGATATCACCGTGCTTCAAAAGGCTGGGTATCAAGATGGTCTTGAGCTTCCAGATGGCGGTGCGCTTCCAGACGGTCGTGGGCGTCCAGATGTGCGTCTTGTTGGGCTTCCTCACGGTTGTGAGCTCCCAGACAGTTGTGAGCGCCCGAGCGGCCGTTACTTTTCTGGAGATGCCGTTTTTTCTTGATGCTGCGTTTCGTGAGGATTGTGGGGGCGCTTCCTGAGCCAGCTGCGTTTCCTCCTGAAGCTGAGCGTGTTCCTGGTGCTGCGGGTTATCTGGGTGACGCTGCCCCTGTTGACCGTGCTGCTGACTCACCTGGTCCTGCTGACGCCGTTCGTCTGGAGCTTCTAGATGGTCGTGAGCTTCTAGATTGGCGTGAGCTTCCAGGTGGTCGCGAGCTTCCAGATGAGCTTCGCGGTGGGTATCCTGATGGTCGTGGGCTTCCAGGCGGTCGTGAGTTCCTAGACGGTCGTGCGCTTTTTGGAGACGCGGTACTTTCTGATCGGCGTGCGGTTCCCCCTGATTTCGTCACGATCATGCTGAGGGTCTGGCTGCAGTTGTTGCCAACTGTGCTTTCATAGTTAACGTACTTATTTCTCACCGCCGTTCGCCTGGTGGGCTTGTTGCATCTGTTCGGGCACGGTAGCGACCTCCACCTAATTGCCTTGATCTGCCATATTGCGATGACGATTCGCTATGTGTTGTCTTTCGAGGCTCTCGTATTCCTGCTGATGATTGCTGGCAATGACGCACGCCTCTGGGGCGCCGTCGCGTTGATTTTCACGAGTTTAACCCCGATTTGGAACTTCTGGGTGATTTTCGGATTACCCGCATTGAATATGGCAGGAAGTTGAGGACGCCTGCCCGCTCGAGCAGTACTGGAGTACCTTTGAACAACGTGGCCTTGCCGAGCGGTCTCTTCTGCAGCATGACGGAAACCCACCGGTGCCAGAGGCCTTGGCCGATCAAAACAATCATCACCGTCATCATCATCACCATCATCACCATCATCAGTACAATCATCACCAGCATCCTCATCATCATCACCACCATCACCATTACCACTCAGTATCACTCCTCCTCCCCTTCCCGATCCCTTTATTCCTCCTTCCGCCTCCCTCCACCCCTCCCTCCTGGTCCATGACTGATGCTCCCCCTCCCCCATTCCCACTCCTGCCCTCCAGCTAGCTATCCTCGCTTCTCCTGCGCCATTACTCACTCATTCAGTCACTCCCGCTCCTCATCCTGACCCCTGCTCCCTCATCGCCGTTCTCTCTTCCTACCTCATCCCTCCACCCCCACATCCAGCACTTACTCCTCCATCTCTCCGCCGCGGTTGCCCTCATATCGCTCTTCTCTTCTGGCGCCGTGCCTCCTCATCATCCGATTGCCAGCATCATCAGCTTCATCAGCACCGTCAGAATAAACATAACCAGAATCATCCTCGCAATCACCGCCATACTTAAGGCTGTTTTCTCACCACCATGATCGCCACCGACATCAGCCTCCCAATCCTCGTCAACACGTTCATCGCCGCGTTCCCTGTTCCATTATTCCATCCCTGCCCCCCGCCTTCCTCTCGCTCCCTCCCGCGCGCCGTGCATCCCCCATCCCGTTCCATCCCGCGCCCCCAAATCCTCGCCCCCCTCCTTCCCTTCCTTTCCCCTCTCGGTCCCAGGGGTCCCAGGGGCCACGGCCTCCTCAACCTGGTCTTAGCTAGGCCCGGACGCCCGGCCGCACTGGTGGTCGTTCCCTCCTCCACAATTACTCAATATGATACTACTTTCCCTCTTCCCCTGATGGCGTGCTGGGAATATTCGACCCCCCCCCCCGCGCATTTTTTTTTCACACAGGATTCCTGGGAGTTGGGTTTTCGCTTGCGTTTTTTTCAAAATGCTGCTCTCGGTGAGGCGCCGGCCTCATTTCTGCTCCCGAATCGTTCCGGATCGTGCTCCCGCTGCAGCGTGGGCCTCATTTTCGGATCGGTGTTTTGCCTCCGTCGTTCAGGATGGCGTTCTCGCCCCAGCGCGGGCCTCTTTCTCGCGCGCCCATCCGCCCGCCACCACCGCGCCGCACCACGCCCCGCCCCGCCGCACGCACACCCACCGCCACTTCCACCCACCAACGCACGCACGCACGCACGCGCACCACCACCGCGCACCGCCACCACCACCGCACTACCCCACCCACCACCACCACGCTACACCGCATCACACCACATCACACGCGCGCACACACAGACACA